TCCCTCCTCCCCTTCATCTTTTCCGACAATTCCCCCCCCCCTATCCCCATATACTCTTTATACCCCCCCCCATCATATATAAATTTTTTTTCTCTTTCATTGTTTTTGCATTGCATAAAAGCGATTGTGTAATGTGTAATGTGTAAATCTATTTCTAAATTTGAAAATTAGGAAAATTAAGATAAAATCTAATTATTTAAAACATTGATGTCTCTTATAAATATCTTTTTAATAAATATTTTGATATAACTAATATGCAAGATCTTAAATCTTTAAAAAATAATTATCTTAGATCAAAAACCAAACAAAACTAGTATTATTTTTACGCGTGTATCCCTTTCTACATAACTCTAAACATGCCACCCCTTCAAAGAACCCCTTAAAAGAACCCCTTCAAAGAACCCCTTCAAAGAACCCCTTGAAAGAACCCCTTAAAAGAACCCCTTGAAAGAACCCCTTGAAAGAACCCCTTGAAAGAACCCCTTGAAAGAACCCCTTGAAAGAAGCCCTTGAAAGAACCCCTTGAAAGAATCCCTTGAAAGAATCCCTTGAAAGAACCCCTTGAAAGAATCCCTTGAAAGAACCCCTTGAAAGAATCCCTTGAAAGAATCCCTTGAAAGAACCGCTTGAAAGAACCCCTTGAAAGAACCCCTTGAAAGAACCCCTTGAAAGAATCCCTTGAAAGAATCCCTTGAAAGAATCCCTTGAAAGAATCCCTTGAAAGAACCGCTTGAAAGAACCCCTTGAAAGAACCCCTTGAAAGAACCACTGAAAAGGAACTGTTTTAAGATTTTAAGTATCCTACCATTATGTCAAAATCACAAGGGCACCCTCTAATTTGACCACAATTTCGAAGGATATATTCATTTTTATAAACTGTTAAGTGTTTCTTTCTCACAATTCTCTCCATGCATTGTTTCTTTTTGCTATTAATCCACAATTCACTTTTATATGAATCAAGCGGTTTTTTTTTATTATTTTTAAAGAGAAACCAAGGATATATATCATTTACCCTTGATCAGATAAAGCTTTTAAGGGAAACCATTTTGAATGCATGGTGTTACTTGACAATTGACATGTACACTGTACAGTCCTTGTAACAGTTAAAACTATTTACTATTTAGTTAATAATATCGTTTCTTTGTTTAATATTTTTGTAAATGAAGTTTTACTGATATTTATGCCTGCAGGTTTTTATAAATATTCTTTAAATTATAATAATTATTGTTTATTCGTTTTCCTAATTTTCCTATAATATTGGGTTTACACTGTGCCTTGCTGCAGAAAACAGGGCTTATTCAAGCAAACATACAGGGGAGTATATATATATATTTATATATACTTGGTTTTAGTATTCATGCAAACATACAGGGGAGTATATATATATA